TCCTCAATAAACTACCTGCAAATCCTTGTCTCAAGGTCTGCTTTGAGGGAACTCACATGGAGACACCCTCTAACAAACGCTGCCTCAAAGGCTAGATTTTGAATTGATTTTGGGAAAACTAGGAGGTGACACTGTCCAAATCTGCTGATTTTGACATATTTCATTTCAGAAAATATTTCCAAGCTTATTCAACTTCTCCTTGTCTGGAACTCTGTCTTCTCTCCTGTGTCTATCTCTTTAGAGAAAAATGTAGAGATCAGGGAGAGGTGGGTGCATTGATGCCTTTCTTCGTTACTTTATACAAAAAAATTATAATTTAACACAAAGTCTCTTTTAGCTAGTGAGGTCAGAGTTATTATTTTGTAAAACATACATTAGCAATTATATCCTAAAAAGAATGCAAATTTGTCAAGTGGACACTTAGTGGGAGATCAAAGAAATGAAATTTCCCAGCTCTTATTTCAGAAATTTTGTGTTAAAACAAGTTGCAGCATGTAGTAGCATGTCTTCATCTTTTCCTCCCTGCCCTTGGCTCCAGAGCTCCTACTTCTTTTATCCCTGAAGTCTTTATCTTGGGTTAGGAGTAGGCTCCAGCCACTGTGATGAACCTGCATTACCTCTGCCTTATGCAGGACTGGTAGAGACTGAACAAAACAAGAAGCCAATGAGTGAATTTTTTTCCCATGATGGGCCCTCCATGATGTGCAAGACAGTAGAGGGGACCTATAGACTGAAGTTTATTATTTCTATTGAAGATGTGCCCTTTCCAAATGAAAAGAGATGATGTGCTGTGGACAGAAAGCTGAGGACAAAGCCTGGGACCCTCCTCATTTCCCAGGCTTCAGCTATAAGGCGGTCACCCCTTTGATGACATAGGGATTACATGATTGGATCATAGGCATTGTGTCAGATTTGCCCCAGTCTGGCCCTATACAGCTTTGGGACTCTTCAATGAAAAAAAAAAAAATGTCTAAATAACATCAGTACATGTTTGGCGGGGCAAAAGCCAGCCAAATACCCTCTAGTGCAGGTGGAAGAAGATTCTCCTTCTCTCTGGTCATCACTGAGTAATAGATAGACTTCTGAGTATCAAGAATCAGCACAGAGATAACAGTTCACAGAGGAAAACTGTTAGGTCTGCACCCATTTTTCCCTCTTCAGAGCATGGCTGGAATGCATGGGGGTGGGGTAGACGAAGGAAAGTACACCGATTCATGCCACACACATTTCTACACTTGCATTTTTAATAAAATGATACAAATTCTCTGATTTCACTAGTTTTCAGTGATTTTTAATCTCACCTTCCCACGATAATGAAGATCAGTAGAAAGAACATGGAGTTGGGGTCACATCCTGGGTTCATGGCCCTGGATCCCACAGACCAGACTTCATAGAGGCTGAAGAAAAGAAAGCAAGCAATGGACCATGAATTTGGGGTGGGCTTAATATTGTCCAAGTGTTTATTACGGGATTTAATTACCTGTGAAATTTTTGAACTTTCATTTCTCTATGGAAATACACTAATGGGAGGAGTTCATATTATTCAAATTTAGGGGCAATTTATGCTAACATGCGACTTTTCTCAGGTGGGGACAGCTAAGATAGGTCTATGGTAAGCTTGAAACTAGAATAGGGGGTAAATTTTTGGATGAGGGCATTGTGTGGCTTTCAAGCAAACTTAATTACAGTCCTGTCCTGGCCCATTTCAGAGGCTTGGGTTGGTGTAGGGCAAAATATGAAACTTCCATTTTGCTGGTCTCAGAGACTGATAAATAGCAAGGGAAAGGCCACATGAATGAGACAGTGGAATTTTCCTTTAACTCAGAGCCTGTGTTGTCTTAAGCATTCTCTGTTAACCCTAATGGCTGAATAGAACTAAGACTGGACATTGTAGAGCTCCAGGAAGTGGAGAGGGGACTTCTCAGTATCTCTCCCTACCTAAGGCAAATTTCACTTCTCAATACTCTGACCCCACAATCTTCAATAACCTCTTACAAGAATGAGGAGCTCTCAAGTGATTGGTTAGATTCTGTGAAGCCGATTGGGTCCCATTCACTAATGGGTGGGATTACCACACCATGCAAAGTTACCCTGGCCTGGGACGTTCTACTCTTCAATTCTTTCTTTCTTTCATTGTGGCTAGATGGGCAAGCTGAGACAGGGCACACTGACTGCAGCAGACTGGGCCATCCTGTTCTTTCTCATTGTCGCTTCGCACCTGCATGTTGCATCTTGCAGTGACAGTCAAGAATTCCTCTTTGATCCTTGTGCCTAAGTTTTGAGTCCATCCCAATTTCATCAGAGAACCGGGGACTAATGATCCTGGTTACCAGGCCATAAAGCAGTACTGTATTTTTAACTATATTCTTTTTTGTGTGAATATCTCCTTTAGAAATCTCATGAAAAATATTATTGACAGTACAGGATTTGAGAATTGGAGGAACTTTGGCTGTTAGAGTGCCCAGCTTATCTGGTTTGTCTGTGAGTAAGGGGGTTTCCTGACACACACAACTTCCAGTAGTAAAACCAGGGAAGTCCCTGATAAAGTATGATGAGTTGCTCATCCTGGCTGAAAAGCTATCTAAAGGCCAATACACCCCACACGTAATTTAACCTCTACTGGCTGTGCGACCTTGGGTATGTTGCCAACTCTCCCTGAGCCTTAAATTGCTCACCAAGAGAAGGGTGAATATTTTCTGAATATTCAATTAAACTAAGTTAAATTCCTTGGCATATTTTCTGATCCATAGCAGACTCTCTATTGTTACATGTTTCTGTTTTATTTTCTCACTTATATTGGTGCAGCAGAATAAAAAATGATATTCTAAAAAGAAAACACAAAATAGGAGAAATTGAATTACTTTTCTGGGTGGAAGAATTGGTGATGTTTCCTGAACTCTCTTTTCTTCATGCTTTTCACCACAATGTGAAGCAGCATCAGGAATGAACAATGGAATAGTAAATGTACTCCATTGCTGGAATAAAGCAGGGGTCATACATTCAAACAACTGCAGGGGCCACACAGGGACGATGAATGAAAGAAGAGTGATTAATGGACTCGTGGCAAGCTGGTTGCAAATGCAGCAGGCAACCACTCAGCCCCAACAGATTGTGGCCACGTGAGAAGGGCCCACTGTGCCGGATCTTACAAACTTTTCTTGCAATAAGCCATATAATATTTTAAATGTTAAATATACTGATTTATATGTGTTGACATCAAACCTAAAACTTTTCTAAAAAGATATATAAGCCAATCAAAACATTCTGTGGGTCTTTAATCTTTCGTCAAGTTGCTTTACGGAGTAAGAGAGTGAAATTGGATGTCACAAGACAACCAGAGAATGTTTATTCTACTCAGATGGAATAATTGTAATAAAAGAAAACCAAAGTAATTCATTGATGACCAAAAAAAAGACAGGAAGTTCCTAGGTTTTGAATTTGTGTTATCTTGTATATCTGACAACTCAAGACTGAACCTGTGGAGTTACAAAATTATAAAGGTAGACTCTGCTAGCAAAGCTCCATGAAATGCTTGCAAGCATTAGCTGACAGGTTTCAAAACAGTATGAATATTAGTCATCACAGATACGCCTGCCAAAAAGGGTAGCATGTTAGAAGAACATCTGCAGCACCCATAAATACACTCTGCTAAGTTAAACTCAGAGAGGAAATAAGCTTCAAAAGTTGCACAAAGCAAAGATGCTGAAACAGCAGAGTTTTATATTAAGGGGTTCATAGACTTACTCTCATGGTGAAATTGTTGAGGAGGTAGTTAGCTCTCAATAATATTACATGTTTGACCTTTAGCTTTAAGTGACAAAAAATTTTTCAGGATGCATTTGGGCTCAGCCTACTCAATAAGAAATCACATTGTATAAATTGAGTATTAATTCTGTCAAAATGTGTGTCATAGCTAATTAATACTCCTAAATTACAATGATATTGTAAAATGAAAAAAAAATCACTTAATTCCAGGATATATCCAATTGTGTTATAGAATCAAGTGTTAAAAGCAAGCAAGTCATAACATTTGCTAAGAGAAAAAAAAAAGAAAAAAAACTGCAGAACCTACAATATTATCTTTAACTATTTTAAAGTATAAAAATATGAAGTCAGACAGAACCTGCCACATGGAAGATGATCTGAAGAATCATCACTCTTATGGTCAGAATCCTGTGACACGAAGCTCCCATTTCTGGTGGCAGAATCAGTGAGCAACATTGTCTTGCCACAGGACAGAGGGGACTGTGATCTGCTACAGATTTCTGTGGTCCAGGATGCCTAGACCAGGCATATAGAGAGATCCATAGAGAGATCCATGCATGCGGCATTGCTGAGGATGGCTGTGTGGGTTTTTCTTTCAAAGTTATGTGTTTAGTTTCTTTTCTTTTTTGTCTCAACATATCCAAACAGTACAGTTGTAGAGATGGGGATGGAATTTTATTTTTGTCTTTTGCTTTCATTTTCTTCTCTTGTTAAAAGGAAAATTATTTATTTAGAGTTTAAATGCTGCTCTGCAACTGTCAATTACATAAAGCCAAACAGAGTCATATACTAAATTATTTCTTGCTTCTCAAAAAAAAAAAATCCTGTGAAATCACTTTAGGTTTGCTTAAACAATATATAGTTATGATTTGGGAGCATAAGAAACCCTATGCCTTAAGTGAATCCTATTGTGAGATACTTGAGCTATGAGGTGGAACTTTTAGGCTAAGGAGTGTAATATCTTTTCAGGAAGCTAATATGCTGACCCATGCAGAGCACAGAGGCTCATTGATACAACCCCCATCACTGGCTTTGGTTAGAGAGGAAAGATCTTGCATTTAGGTGAAGTTGAGTCAGGAATTGGCTTTCAAACTTAGAAAACATTGCTAGTGTACGGCTTTTTAAAATTATTAATCTACAGTTCATATTTATGAAGCTTAAGAAGACTTGTTTGGAACAATAAGACCAGGACTCAAAATCTTAGAATTATTGCTTGCGGATTTATCCAGTATGAAAAGTATTCTCATGAGATGAATCATTTAAAGACATTACGAGTCAATGATGAAACCACACACTCCGGAGTTTGAAAAGAGACAGGGCTGCTTTAAGAGAGAAACAGGAAGTTGTAACTAGAAGCCATCTGAATACTAAGCCAGAGCAGAATGCTTGTGAAGTAGCAACTAAATTGGCAGTGTTTCTTCTGAAATTCTCAGGCAGTCAGACCATCTTAGGCAAATCTTGATAAAAGAGCCGTTATCCAGGTCTTTATCTAAGGAATTCCAAAAAGACTGGAGAATGGAGAGACAGTCAAGGGCTGTGTCAGAAAAGGATGAGTATCAGTTTCAACATCAGGGAGCGGTGGAGCTGCTTGTCTTCAATTTTTTGCTCATCCTTACCATTTTGACAATCTGGTTATTTAAAAATCATCGATTCCGCTTCTTGCATGAAACTGGAGGAGCAATGGTGTATGGTGAGTGCCTAAATTGTGAGACTGATGTGAAACTTGTTGCTTGAGCGTAATTAGAGACTTGTGTTCACATAGCAAAGTACCGAAACTGGAGAAAATGTGCTGATTGAAATGTCATTAGCTTGATGAAAGGTGCTGCAGAGTAATGAATGCTAACCTCTTTCCAGACAAGCCGCCGAAATTTGCCATGTCACTAGAGCAAATGCCATAGTCATGTTCTCACGCTGCACATAATGCAAGTCTGTTGACAGATGCGATGCGGGTCCATTGTCATGTGGGGAGTCGAGGGCGAGCTGTTTGTTTTTGTAATGATGTTGGGAAGTGATGGCTTGGCAGTCACAAAGAGCAGGCTTCTCTCACTGGCTGCAGCAATGAACATTACAAAGTTCTAGAAAAAACATCCCTTCAAAATGTATGCTGCAAATCCTCTTATATCAACTAATTTCAAAAAGAAAAGTTGCAGAAACTAACCCCACACCTCTTATGAGAATATTATGTCCAAGTCCTTTTTATTTATATGAGCAATGTTTAATTTTCTTATAATAAAGTGTTGTAAATAAACAAGAGTTTCTTTATGCAGTACTTTTTACTTCTTAGCCTGATTTCAGATGTTCTAACTTATAATTAATCATTGCTAGGGTTGTTTGTTATGTATCTCATTTTTTTATTGGAGGCCAAGGTGTTAAAAACTATTTGTTTAACATCCAAAGTATTGCTCTTGCTGGGCAATTTACCATATTATTCCTTCCAGAAAGTTTAATAAAGTATGACAGAGATTATTTAGTCTGTACTCTCATCTTTTAAAGTAACATGAAAGACACCAGCTTTTATTAACAAACTGGTGTTACTGATGAAGTGGCTTGCTTCACTGCTCTTATCTCAGCCTGATAATGGATAGGACGTTTGAACACAATGGCAACAGGCAAGGCATTGCTATAATTCATAGCAAATAACATACGTTTGTATTTGGACTTTCCTCGTTTTAGAAATCCTGAAACCCTTTCATAAGCCTGAGATTCAGGGTACAAGATCAATGCACATTGTATATGCTAACCCTGTGATGTCCCGGTATTAACAATGCATAGTCATGATTTGAGAACGTAGGAAATCCTATGCCTTCAGGGGATCCCACTGTGAGATATTTGAGTTGTAAGCAGAAGTTTCAGGCTCAGCAGTGTAACATCTTTTCAGGAAGCTGATATTCTGATCCATATAGAAAACAGAGTGAAATTCCTTGGTATTAAGGGTCTTTTGAAAATATTTGGCTTTATTTATTTATTTAAATTTAGTGGAGACAGGGTCTCACTATGTTGCCCAGGCTGGTCTCCAACTCCTGGCCTAAAAAGATCCCCCAACGTTGGCCTCCCAAAATGCTGACATTACAAGCATGAGCCACCATTCTTAGCCAGTATTGAGGATCTTAAAGCGCACAAGAATACTCTCATTTAGGAGGGAAAAAAAATCACAATCATGTGGGAGAGAAATAGCCAAACAAAAAGGAAGTGATGCCATCAGATGTGAAGCCCGAGGTTCCTGTCATTTTCCTGTCTCCATCATGAACAGAATCTTTCCCTTGACTTGACTAATAAGTAACCTACAAGGACACGGAATGGAATCTGGGAAGCCAGAAACAATGTAATTCTTGGTATCATATTAAAGGGACATAGGTGCTTTAGCAAAACTACATAGATTTAATGGATTGCCAACCTTTATTAAAAGGAAAGATTTCTTCACGTCCCTGAATTTGAGTGAACTATGACTCATTTACCAGTTTCAATGGTGAGGATATTGTTTTTGTAAAAGTTTTGATAACCTATTAAAATTCAGACATACTTTGCATTCACAATACATACAGTGACTCTTCCTTTTGAACCTGAAAAATTACAGATCACCTTTAATCCTGAAAAACTCTCTGAAATATTTTTAAATTGTGCTTGAAATAATAAAATAATAGTTCGTTGACCACTGCTGTTGAGGTAGCATTTCCCTTGCTGTTCTTAAGGCGGATAAGGCTTAAACTTTATGAGTGGAATTAAGTTGGCTTCTCTGATTCTTGTTCTTCTTTCATGATTTTTTTTTAATATAAAAGTTATTGAAAGCAAATTCTGAATGAGTGAAATGTAAAATGATTATAAAAATTATGGAGATATGCGTATATATGTATTCTATTACTGGAAAATTTGAGTATCTTTCAGTTATCTTGAACTATATAAATCAATAGAAAACATATTTTAGTGATGTTTAACTTTTTCTTGGCATGGAATCATAATTGTTGGGATGTCAGAGAATTTTAGAAATCATCTTCTCTATCCCTTTTATTTTACAGAGGCAGAAAGTAAATCCTAGAGAAGTGAAGGGACTTTCCAAAACTGAGTAGCCACACATGGCTGGTCCATGTGCTTTCACTCATCCGCATGTCTTCCTAAGGTTCACATTCACCTTGAAAGAGCTCTCCCGATATTCTCTGAAAGTACTCCATATGGGTGGCATTCGTGACTTGTCACATTTCTTCTTCAGGGACTACCTAAATGTTATATCTTAAGTGCTTATTAGGAACTTTCTGTCAGTGATATCATAAAATAGTCTGAAACTACACCAGAGGAACAAGATGGGATACTCTAGTAAACACTTTTTAATGTTGGGGAGAGGAGGTACCACATGAATTAGTCGTCCAACAGCTATAAATGAACTTGGAATTCATAGAGTGGGAAGGAGTCTTAATGATCATAATCAAGCATTCTCATTTTGCAGACAAAGAAATGAAGACGTAGAGAGATGAAAGTCTTGTAACTGGTTAGCTATTGGGGTGGGATTCAACCTCCATCTCTTTACTAAGAGATGCTATTTAAAGATAAGTAAATTATTGTGATAATTTTCCTGGAGAAATGATGTGTCTGTGGAATCTAATTGCATCCTCATATGGTTAAGCTTTCAAGATTAGCTGGATTCTCTTTTCCAGGTAGTCTAAAAGAGTGAATTTTCAGCATCACACACAGTACAAATCCCCTTTTTCCATTAGAGGATTAAACTCATAACTTTTGCAAGAGCAGGGAGCATGGTGATAAACAGTGGGGAAGAAAAGAAACAAAACTATGTTTAAAACCTAAGCTTTTTGAGCTATGATTGTGCCACTTCACTCCAACCTTCACTTGAGCCTAGGTGACAGAATGAGACCGTGTCTCTAAAAAAAAAAAAAGGAAAGAAATAAAGAAAATTAAACTTTTAAAATTTCTTATTTTTTAAGAGATGAACATTTGAGAATAGACTGTAACAGTCATCTCCCTGTTACAGACACATTTGCTTGTAACAAAACATATTGCTTGACTTAATGGACCTGCACCTAATGCTTATCAATGAATTTGGCTAGCAACTCCCCTACTGCACTGAGTTCTGCTCTTGCTCTCACTGACTATTTGTATAATGTATCATTTGTCCTGTATCAAGAATGATACATGTTTTTCCCCAGCATCAAATTTCCTATAATACTTCAGCCTGTTCTACCATCTGCTTTTCTGCAAGTATTCCTTTGACATGTGTCAAATGTACTTTAGAAGACTCAATAGATGTTGCATCTATTTTTTATCAGTGTACCTGAGAGTCCAATTTAAAAATTCTACAGAACAGGGGCTTAGAAAAATGAGCAGTTTAAAAAATGCAGAGAAAAGTGATCAAGCAGAATGTTTAATATTCTTTTATAGTTATTGTCAGAAATAATTTCGAAGTTGTTAACCTTAAAATATCATATGAAGAGTTGTAGAGACCGAGAAAAATTGTGTGGCATTTGGCTAGATTCTGTGTCAATCAGAGATATAATGATGCTCCAAATAATATAAATAATCCATTATATAACAATACATGTTTTTTCTTGTTATTAAGGGCCATAGGAAGTACGTATACATTAGTGGCAGCTTTATAACAATATTTTTGCTTTATCAGGAACAATAATGGGTAATCTGTTATGATATTCAATGGTTCTTATTTCAAAATTGAAGGATTAGAATCCATAACTGGTTTAAAATGTAAGCCATAGTGATATTTATTTAAATTGGACTGAAAGCATAAATGACAATTAGTGGTCAAAATATTGATTGGCAGCAGCTGATGCACTTAGTACTGCTCACTTAGGGCCTGTATCCCCTGCTCAATACTAATAAAAGAAATTTGCTCCTTGCTCCCTGATAGCATTAAGAATTCCATTATATATCACTGGGGGCTGCCATAATTTATAGGACATTTATAATGCCATGCATTTGAGGGCTGGGATCTGAGCTTAGGGACGGAGCAATTTAAATCTCTTAGAATTCTGCCTTTGATTTCCTGGCCTTTCCATAGAAGTTAGTCTCTGAATTCATGTAAAAATTGTGCCCACTGTTTAGTGGGCAAAAAACAAATATCAAGACACAAAGTTTACATTTTGAATTCATTAAACTATATCATATTCAAGCATTTTCTGATTCTTTAGGAATATGCTTAACAGTTTAATAGGAACAATTTGATTCACTCAACAAAATGATTTTCAAGATTTAAAGAAAATACAATTACATGGTGAATCACAAAGGTTGAAAAATTATCTTTTCTGAAAAATCTTCTGCAGGCCTTAATTTCTTCCTAGCACTCCCTGCAGATTCCTCAGGATTAAATTGTGTTGTTGGGCACGTGTGGCTGTACCCTCCTGATCCCTTTTGCCCTCCTCCGGGACAGCCCGGCCTCCCTGACTGCCAGGCTCATGGGAGATGCTTCCTACTGCTTCGCCCCCTTCCCGCTAGCTGAAGGTCCTTCTAAGGCTCTACTTATTCCACTGTGGCATGTCTGATAGAGAAAACATTGACGCGCTCCCTGGAGATTTAAGTTTCTTAATCTTGATGATTTGTTTTTCAGTAGTTAGATACATTATTTTGGGCAAGTGACATAGTATCTGGCCTTATTTTTCTCATCTATAAAATGGGGAAGAAAGGAATAGATATCACACATCTCCCTTCTAGCTGAAAAAGTCCTTCAAAATT